CACCACCGCCACTACCGCCACCACCACCCCCACCACCGCCACCACCGCCACTACCGCCACCCCCACCCCCACCACCGCCACCACCGCCACTACCGCCACCCCCACCCCCACCACCGCCACGGATCTGGGGGTACTGGGAACCTGGTAACCAGGGCTTGGAAGGGCTTTCCGTGCAGCTGCTCGGTGTTGCTTGCTCCGCAACCCCATGATGATGAACCACATAACCACATCCCTAGCGTGTATTGACCACCTGTGCGATCCGTGCAATGCCGCTAAACTCGCCTGGCCCACCTGTGCATGGCAACGACGAATAACGACAACGACGACGACGACGACGATGATAACCTCAAAACAAGGTTTTCACGCCATGACCGCCGCCTTCACCAGGGTGTACGGCTTCTGTACGCCGTACGCCATCACGGGCAGCCTTCCCTGCATCCGGGAGCTCCAGGTAATGGAGGTTTTATTACTGTGTATGCCTGATGTACGAAATTGCCGTATTTGTACCTTGGTGTCGTGCAGGAAAATAAAGTGCCGTGCGGGTAACTTGAACGGCTGTTGTTAATCGGTTGCTGTCCAACCAATTGTCCTGTCCATTCGCAGGAAGCGGGATACGACGGTACGTGGTGATGTATTAGAGGCATGCAGTACTGTACGGCATGGAACGACAGTACGGCTATACGACAGTGAGGCCACGCACCGGCCTGTAAATGCATTGCCAGTCTACCCGCAATTATGTTATGTACTTCACTTGAAGTTTACTTTTCTTTCCGGTGTGGGGTGCTGTTGCTGGTACTGGTACCCGAAATCCTGATGAGGCAACAGATTGCCAACTGAACCAACGGCGTAACTGTCGATAACCCCCATGGGTGATGGCGGCCGTACGCCCGTGCGTAGGGTGCCTGCATGCTGCGTGTATGTGTATATGTGTGCATATGGTGCGCCCTGTATTTGTGCCCGGTGTCACCAGTAGTGCCATCAGGGGTAGTAGCCGCGAGCCGACTGGTAATCGTCTATTGCGTCCTCCTGTGCTAAAACGGTCTCCTGCTGAATCCAGAGCGACAATCTCTAGAGCATTATTACTAGTATTATTGATGCTATTACCGCTATTGCCGCCCGGTTATGTTGTTTCTCTCCCACCCCGTAACACCCCGGTCTTATGGTACCTTTTTCTCAATCGTTTGTGGTTCGTCCCCCCCCCCCCCACACACATGTCTCCCCCCTCCAACGTAACCCCCTTCCCGCTCTCATTACGCAACGACAGTGCAATGTATCGGCTTTGGCCGCATGGCAACCTACCACGCCGTTAACGAGTAAGCGCTCCAGGGAGGGCCGGGGGGGCCAGGGGGGCAGCGGGGGGGGGTCATAATAAGGCGATGGGATCATATGCTTTTGGAGGTGCAGAGATATGTGAGATGCCGAGGAAGGTGCTGGATAACGCAGATTGTTACAGCAACGCAGGTTATCAGAAAAACAGCACCTTTGCTGGCTGGACGTGTGGGTGGGAGTCTGAATCGTCGTTAGACCGCGCGCGCTTCCTCTCAACCTGTCTTTTGGTTGCGGAGGTGCACTCGGCGTTGCCATGACCGCTGCTGCGACTACAGGGGCTCTGCTTTGACTCTACATGCTAGTGCCTATTATGTTACCGTTACTGCTATGTTGCGATATCTACGATGCAATCGTTGTTATGCTATCTGTTCTGTTATGAAGGTCGGTGTTGCTGTGCTAGCACTAATCAGTATTGGTAGGGATATGTATCCGTATTGGTGTGCTGGATGTCACTGGCACACTGCTGTTGCTACTGCAGGTATGCTTTGCTGTCGGACTTCAAAAAGGGCTTCCAGGTGATGCGCGAACTCCTGCTACACTTCAACAACAACTAGAGCTGATAGCGATCTATCAATCGTGGAGAGCTCTGCAGCAAGGCACTATTGATCTCCAGGTCACTCAATCCTTAGGGCAGGGAAAGGAGGGTGGTGGGAGGCGGAGATGGGCGGGACTGTGTACTACGCATCAATCAATCCCAAATGCACTGGTGCCTGCCTGGTTTTCCAGGTTGGGATGGGTTTGGTTCCGGGTTCAAGGAAAGATGTTCCGGGCAGGGGGTTGTGCATTTTGCTGCCAGTTGGGAGCAGGTGATGCCATGCAGTTGACAGGCAGTTGACAGCAGACGGTTATGACGGTTGGTAATGCCGTAAATGTTTTTAGGGCTCAAGGGCTAAATAGCAGTTGGGAGTCCAGATCGTTTTTTTCCGTTTCAGGCAGAGAGAGGGACAGAGCTTCAAGTCCTAACGGTTGCGGAGGTTCAGCATCCCCTCATATTACTGATGTGGTTGTATTATCAGACATCACTACATATCAGCAGTTGCTGTTGGAAGTTGTGAAAGTGTTGAAAGTGTGAAAGTTGTGAAAGCGCGGGCCTACCAGTCTTTCTCACGCGTCAACGAGGAAGCAGCGGGCGGACAGAGACAGAGAACTCCGGAATCCCGGGGGGGGGGGTTTGCGGGGAGATGTGGATTGCGGTCGCCGCGTGTCCGAAGACCTTGACCCGCAGTCATCACACCCCTAGTCCGGGCCTGGTCGGTTTTAGGAGGGTTCGTCGCATTGCATGGTTTGTTGTACGCATGTAGGTGGAATGGAATGCAGTAGGTGTTCTTGTGCTGGTACGGAATTCGGTTGCGAAGCGCCAACGCTGCTTGGACGGCGCCCACCACTTTTTCCTCAGTTGCCTGGCAGAAAGCTCTTAAAAATAAAAGACATACAAAAGTATGGAATGATTTTTCCTTTTCATGGTGCCATTAATTGAAAGTAAGCATGGAAAGTCAAATCGTGTTGCTGTTTGCCGCTCGCTCTCAATTTATCGTACTGTTCCTGAACAGTGTTGCGAGCAGGAACACATTTTCATGGCTTAGCGACCTTTCAGCCCACAATATTTATGGGCCGCAAAGGCTCTAATTGGTATTCAAAAGCACGGAAATTGTGCACTGGATAGAAATGACAGGATAGAACCTTTCAGAAGTGTTATGCATCGTAAGCGCCACAGCATTATGAGTCGCAAATAATAATAGCAAGTCGAATACATTCGTTCAAAGGCAACGGATGGAATGTTATTATTGCGAAAAGTGACCTTCGCTGTACCTTGCAGGCGAGATTGCCGTGTCCTACCCATGCCCTACCTCTGTCACGCAACCTCACAATTCTCGAAGTCAGGATTTATGTTGCAGCGGCTACAGAAAACGACATCGCTTTTCGTTCGCGGTATTGTGCAGCACTGGCCGGAGAGAAACTTTACGACACTTTCGCCTGGCACCATTCCAGATCGAAAATTATATAGGGATAAGATTTGTTTATGTTTCAAAATTGTTTTCGATTCTGTGGTTTAGCCCATCCGACATCGGGTTGCCGAAGTAGCAACTTTCTTCATTGCAACAAAGTGTGGGAATGTTGTAAAAGGCATCCATATGCTGACAGATAAAATTGCTCGCATGGGACAAAGGGTGTGCCGTGTCGTTAGTTCAGTTCGTCGTCTACTAGGTAGCTCAAGTTGAAACGTCAACCATTTCGACACGAAGCGATTCCGCGCCCCATGGCCTCCCCAGGATTCACCAAATATTTGATTTGCTTTCATTTCCGTTCGGTGTAGTGCTCAGAAACAACGCGATGCAGGAGAGGGCCAAAGCCCTATGTACGTATTCCACTAGGTTCCTATCGTATCATACTACCGAAAACCAAAACGGAGGGCGTGGCATTAAATATAACTTGGATTTCACCAAGGCTGCAAATGTAACGAATGGAGGCTGGGCTGCTGCGTCGACCCCAATACCAAGGATAATACGTTCACTGGGCGGAAATCGGCCTCTGCAGGCAGAATACAGGTCATGATACATTTTATAGGAGGGCTTTTTGTCCAAGAAAGAGTTGGACCCCACGGCACCAGTTGTTGAAGCGAACGGCACCTCGTTCTCTGCCTACCACCTTTAGGTTGTCTTCCGTGTACAGTTGGGGAGTGGCTGCTTATGCGAACACCTTGAGTTTCATGCATACAACATGAACATGTTTGATGCTCACAGCGGCAAATGCGACGCATCGTGGCCAAAGACAAAACTCTCTAGCTACTCGGAGACTCTAGAGCTACATATGGATGAACGCATAGACGGAAAATAACCATTACGATTGGAGCATTAACGCATTGGTAAATAGCCTCCCATGGCTCTTCACGGCACTGCTTAAACTGCGCAGGTGGGAGCCACGGTACGGTGAATAGTACGGGGTCCTCGTACGGAATTGAGGCACAAACAAAAATGCTTGTGCAACAGATTTGTCACTTTTTGGCTACTGTGCAACTGCCTTACTGTGTCTTAGAAAAGACAATTAACTTTACATCCGCTCCGTGGGCATCTATCCTCTAGGCTGCCACTCAGTTTTTTCATTTTCCCAAGCAATTTTGCATGACATGTTAGGCTTCTAGTACGGCCTAGGAGGCCTCTATTTGGAACAGGCGGTTGGACGAGGAATGGGAGCTGAGGACGAGTTTGCGCAGGTCTGTGCGTTTTCCGAAGGGGGAGGCTGAAAGGCTCTCTAGTGCAACTGGACGGTTTTCTTCTTAGTCTTCCATAGCCTCGTAAAATAGAAGCTGAGGAAGCAGCGCATTGTCTGTGGCGCGGGGGTGGTGCCTCGATGCTGCCCCGCTGAGGGTGGGCAGGCCACCTCGAGGCCGCCAAGCCCTTTGCAAGACGCCTGCCTTCTGTTTCTTATCATTTCTCTTTAACGTGCTAGGCAATCGAAATAGTATCGGGCCTATACTACTTCCTGACCGTCAAGCGAGCAGACAGCCCCCGTTATTCGCCCATTGCTCAATCAAACATCTATTATTGCATAGATGATGAACTGGTGAGTGCTTGGAGCTCGTTGAATTTGCGGGTACAGGCTGTTGGTACCCCGGACGCGACGATGAACTGCTTTCTTACCTTGCAGCTTTATGAGCCATTCTTCGCGGACTTTGGACCTCTGAACCTTGGCCGCACCTACCGGTTTTGCCAGAAAACTAAGCAGCTGCTGCAGGTTTGGTAATGTGGGGGCGGCGCCTGAAGTTCTCATTGCGAAGAGTTAACTTTGCTTTTTTGACATCATGTTGCAGGAGGCGGAGAGAAATGGAAAGCGCGTTTACCTTTACACGGGGCCACACGCCCATCAGAAGGCCAACGCGGCTGTGCTGGTGCGTCCCAGGCTGGGTTCCCATGTAAAGTTCATGTAGTTTCATGCATGCTTTAGGGGATAAACTTACCCTATGGCGTGATTACCTGTGCCAGTGAGCGTTTCTGTTTCCGCAACATTCATTGGACAGCTATTTCACCACAACGAGGCCCTCTCCACCACGCCGTTTCCTGGTGCTGCACCTCTTCAGGTTGGCATTTACCAGGTTATATATCTGAACCGCACTGCCGACGTGGCCTACAAGCCGCTCTCTGTCTACAAGCCCTACGTCCCGTTTCGCGACGCGTCCTGCGGCGTGTCAACATTCCATCTTACCGTGTACGATGTTATCCGAGTGAGTTCACCTTCACAATCTGTTTCAGTCTTGCGGATGCTGTTGCTGCACTGCCCACACCGCAACCGCACGCTTCCGAACGAGCTCAAACCACCCTTCGCCATTTTGTCCGCGCACAAAACCTCCCGTGCCTAGCCTCAACCCTCCCTCCCGCCTGCCTTCCTCGTTGTTAATCCATAAACAGTTACAGAAACAGTGTCCGCACAAGTCGCTAATCGTCGTTAGTCCATATCAGACGGAACACACGTCCAAAATTCAAACGGAAACAGTTGTTCGCCTGACGATTCCCTGCCAATTAACTCGCGCATCGAGATCTCGCAATCTCGCGTCTCTCCCCGGTGACCTGATGGCTTGATGACCTGATGCTTGCGTACCCACTTTTGGTCACTTTCGTTCGTCACACTCTCAGGGGTTACAGAGAGCTCGCGATGTTGGGTTCATCGACTGGAACTCGGGATCATCCACGTGGAGCCTGGAGGAGTACGAGTACTACGAGCAGGTTAGCAATTGTACATTGTATGAAATGGATGAAACGGAGGCATGAACACTTTTATATTATTAACGATAGCAAAGCGCCACGAACCCCTCGGGTCCTATTGCTGCTTTCATATTCTTTTTATACTTGTATATGAGTATCGATCATATCCCAGCGACCACATGTGTGTGGAGGAAAAGATGAGGGGCGCACGTATTCGGATAATTCTTCGCACGTACATACGTACGTACATACGTATTCGGAAGCTGCATCGCTTACTGCGCCAACGACAATCTGCTCTACGCTGACATCAGACGGAATACAACATCAGACATCCGCTGAGGTGTCCATGTGGCCGATGGCGTGCGGGTTGAACATTGTTTATTACATACTTCCTCGCAGAAAGCTTTGCGTAACCAAACGCAAACCGTACGGCGCAGTCGCCACAGATTCCAAGGGTTTTCACCAATTTTGTCTGATCAGTGTCGTGCTGATGCACTCGAGACCTCGTTCGGGGTCCGCTGTTGTAACAAACCGCATACTGATCGCGCCTGTGCGCCCGAACAATCTTTACTCGCGGGCCCGACATCCTCTCTCTGTCCCACCTTGTTGTTCTTCGTGCTTAGGTGGAGAATGGCGACCTGAACTGGATCGTGCCGGGCAAGTTTGTGGCGTTTTCCGGTCCCGCTGCTCGCTCTAACGAGGTGGCCGGCTACCGACTGCACACCCCGGAGGATTACTGGGACTACTTCCGCAGGAAGGGAGTCACGACTGTTATCCGACTGAACAAAAAGGTGTGTGTATATGTGTGCATGTGTGTGTGCAGATGGGGGAAGGAGAGCCGATGGGGGTGACTGTGTGTGTTGTATCTGTGTGCCTTTTGATGAGTGTCCGTATTATCCCTGTAACTGTAGCTGTGTGGATGTGCAGATGTGCAGATGTGCGTTTCGAGGTGATGTGCGCAGTAATGGTGCGGCTCTACTACCTGGGTCTTTTGCCTCTTTACCTTCTTTTGCCGCCTCTGTCGAAATGGTTTGTGGAGGGTTACAGAGACAGCAAACGCCCTGCCACAGACCGTGTTGTGCTCCCTTGGCCTCCTCTATAGCGGCCATGTGGGGGGCCCTTTCCCCCGCGGGCTGTTACAGACGCGTCATCCGCTCTTTTAAGCGGAACGTGTAATTAATATGTATTAACATCATCCCGTTCTCTGTACGCCGCCATCCTCCCTGTCTCAGGTATACGACCGGAAGCGCTTTTTAGATGGCGGCTTCAAGCACCATGAGTTGTACTTTCCGGACGGCTCGTGTCCCACAGAGCCCATTATTCAGGTAGGTTGGTAGGTAGGTAGGTAGGTAGGTAGGTGTGTCGGGGTAAACAACCTCGGGTAGAAGGGGTTAACGTCGGGCCGGTGCAGGGGCAGGATTACGGGAGGAGGGGGGACCCTAATGCTGGTGCCAGCGGTGTCCCTACCCCACCCTACCTGGCGCTGCAGGGGCAGGTGAGGCCCTCGGTGTCGGTCGGGGGCCCCTGCGGTGGCCGGTTGGCTAGCTGGTGGTGCACTTCTTGACCAATCTGGCCTGGTGCTATTGACCCCGGGGCGTAGTGCTTCCCTCCCGGGGTCAATAGCGACCGACGTCTTGTTGCTCGGTTCTGGTCTTGCGGGGCATAGTCCCCTGGGCATTGTTATTTTCCTATTGTTGTTTACCACCCGGTGGCTGTTGCCCTCTCGTGCCAGACCCCTCACTGCGCTCTTGGGCTAACCAACTACATGTATGTGCTTTGCGGCTCTGTCTCTCGCGTTCCGCCCTTGCGAGGACAGCGTTTCCTGGACACGGTGGAGACGGAACCTGGCGCCATTGCGGTGCATTGCAAGGCCGGGTTGGGTCGCACCGGCCTGCTGATTTGCCTCTACATCATGAAGCACTACCGGTTCACCGCTGAGGAGGTGATTGGCTACATCCGCGTGTGCCGCCCGGGGTCGGTCATCGGGCCGCAGCAGAACTTCCTGCGAGAGGTGCGCGACGGCGGGGGCCGGGAACCGCCGAAGAAGGGCGGTTGCGGGGTGTTGGGTTTTTAAAGAGCGAGGGAGAGGTAGGTCGGAGAAGAATTTGGCAATCCTTGGGGTTTGGCACATTTTGGTGGATTTAGCAATGCTTGTTGGCCTGGAGGCAAAGATGTGCTTGCCACGTTACCACATGTTGTTTCCTTGCTGCTTGCGACGTGTTAGTGGAGGTTGGTTGGTTGGTTGGTCGCACGTGTTTTGGAGCAAGCTATAAAGAAGAGGTGCAGATGCGAAGGTATGAGCGAGAGGAGCAATGCGTGGATGGGTGGACGGAGGGAAGGGGAGGGGGTTGTCGGGTTGTGCATGCTGAGTGCGTGGCAGTGGTGGTGGTGGCAGTGGTGGTGGTGGTGGTGGTCAGATGTTTGCGGTGGTTTGTTACCTGAAGGTGAAGGAAGCGGAGTGAGGTCTGGAATGCGGTTGGTTGCTTCGGATATTTCGGTATTTGTGACAACGGTGATGAAGAAGGACTTTGGACTGCGAAGGCGAGTTCGGGAAAGAGGTGTGTTGAGGCTCTCGCGCTTGGAAGGAGGATCGCCTATGTTGGCGTCGTACCGTCTGGGCACCGTCCGTGTTATGGTCGCTCGCGTAGGTGCATGTGAGTCGTGCTGCTGAGCTGCGCATGCGTCTGGTGTTTTCAGCCCTTCAGTTCTGCCGCCGACACAGACACACACGCCTCCTCTCTGCCGCCGCTACCGCTGCCGCTGCCGCTTTCTCTACCCTCCCCCCACGTGCGCGCGCGTTTCCGCCGTTGTCGTATCGCTCCCATTCATCCATTCCTGTCTTTGCGAATTTAGGTGGGTCCGATGGTGTGCCGTATCCGGCGCACAGTCAGCGCCGCCGGAAGCGCCGCCTCCGTCGCCGTCGCCATCCCCAGCGGTCGCATGCCCGTAATCGCCGCCACACCACCGCGAGCCTGCTCGCTGCTGCGTCAGCACGTGCACTACGCGGGCCACAGTCTGAGCGCCGCGCGGCGCCTGCATGACCAAATCCTGCGTCGCTCGCCGAACTACCCATCGGTCGGTTTGGCAGTTACAGCGGCCTGCAGGAAACGCGTTTTTTGTGCTGTGCTGTATGGCAGTAGTAGTAGTAGTAATAGTAGTAGTAATCGTAGTCCGCAAGGGTGTCGGTTGGTGCGGTTGTGGTGTAATCTGTAGCAGTTAAGGTGGTGCTGGTATGGGCCGTTTCTATGTTTCCATCTGTTTTTCCGCTTGACGCTGTTGTTGTTGTTGTTGCTGGTGGTGGTGGTGCCGTGGGAACCGACCGGAGTTGCGACAGGAACTGCCGGGTGGCGGTGTGAGGCTGATGTGATGTGAGTTGGTGAGCTTCGCGGCCTCTCGCCCGCAGGAAAGAAGCGGAGGAGGAGCGACTGTGGGAAGGCGTGTCGGGGGGAAGGTCGGAGGAGACGTGGGTTATTAGAAATATGGGGGTTAGGGGATTTTAGTTTTTTCAGTATCGCGCACATTTGTGTGCATCTCGTCTAGTCTGCTCCTGTCCTTGCCCCGCCGCTTGTCCTTGCCCCGATACGTAGCGACTTCCATGTTAACGTGTCCATGTCACGTGTGTCCGTGATTTTGGACCCTCCCCTTGCCGCGCCTATTTGTGTACTTCATCGGCACCGCCACCATGGTCATCTGCACAACTACTGCCTTTGTTTAAAATTCAAGCCCGCTGCCCCACATCCCGCCCTGATGCAGATGGAGGCCCGGATGTGGCACGAGGGGGAGCTGTACCGGGCGGCACGGGGGCTACCCAAGGCTGGGCCTGCAGTAAGCGACTTGGTGGTAGCAGGGCGAGCCGCCGGGGCGTCAGACCTGGTCGCGTCGCCGACGCCGCTCGCCGGTGCTGACGTCGGGGGCAACGGGGGCGTTAGCAGCGGCGCCGTCGCCGGCGGCGTCGTGGCCATCAGTGGGCGTAACGGCTACCAAGGAGGCTCAGCGTACAGCCAAATGCGGTCTAGCAACAGCGGCGGCGGCGGTGCGGGGAGGTCCAATGGCGGCGCAGCTGCTAGCTTTTTGATGGGGGCCAGTTCCGCACCGGCTGGAGCCTCCCCAGCATCCGCGGACATGTCGCTTTTGCAGTACAGCAAGCTGCAGCAGTTCACCTCGGGGCCGGTACAGTACAGCGGCGCCGTTGGCGGAGGCGGAGTATCCTACCTGGCGGCATCGCCAGACTATGGCGCCGGCCCTTCGTCGTCGCCGGCGGTGCTGGGAGTTGGCATGTCTGCCGCCGCCATCACGGGTTCGTACGGCGCGGTGTCGTCTTTCCGGAGCCGTTACAATGGCAACGCGGCCGGGTACGGCAGCAGCAACGGAGGCGCCATGGCCGTTGGCGTCGGTCGCTCCATGACGCCCCTGCGGTACAGCCAACAATCCAATGTGGGTTATCCTTTGAGCATTAACAACCACCACAGCAACCACACTGGCAGCCCTGGAGGGCCTTTCGGCCTCGTACATCATTCGAGCTCCCACCCTGGACCCCTGCAGGCCGCCGCCACTGTTGGGTCCCGTGGGTCGCTAGGAATATCGTCCGTCGCGAGGTCAATAACGGTGCCACCAGCTGCATCCGCCGCGGCTGGCGGCACGGTCGTTGGCAGCGCCGCCGGCCGCTCGCCGCCGACGGGTCGCCTCAGCGTCGCCGCCGGCCTGGCGGCACCGCCGACGTCGTCGGCCGCCGTGGCACTGCGTTCGACGCTCCACACTGACACACTAGCAGCGGCCGATCGCCCGAAATTGGTCCCGGAGCGGAACACGCAAAGCGCCGACGTGGGCTCTGGGTTTGGACTCGGTGGGACATCGCTCACGCCGTCTGGCGCCGGTGCATCGGCGTCGCCGTGGCGCATTGCCGTACCCTCTGGCGGCGGCACCGGGCCCTCGTCGGGGCCCGGCACGCCCAACTCGATTGGCTCCGCAGCCGGGAGCATTGGCGCTGGCGGCGGCGTCCTGAACCGCCCTCCGTCACTTAACAATCGCAGCGGTGGCGGGGCCGGCAGTAGTGGTGCCCCTGTGATTGCTGGCAGTGCGAGCGGCGGTGTCGCGCGTATATTGGCCCCCAACGGGCAGCCGCGGAAAGTTCCCATGGCGTTGCTGAACCAGTACGCCCAACAACAGCAGCAACCGCAACAACAACAACAAGGTGCTGGTCAGCAAAGCGCGGGCGGAGGCTGGGGCCCGGGGGCTGGGGCCCCGGGTGCGGGCATGCAAAAGTCCCCGTCAGCTGCTGCTGCACCAGCGCAGATGCGCACGAACTACTCTTATGGCTTGCGGCAATGATGGCGAGATGCGGTGAGATGAGATGACACGCGGGTGGCTTTCGGGTGGTCGCTGTGGTGCCAAGATTGCCTTTCACCCGTCTCCACATCCACATCCGGGTGGGAGGACCGCAGGGTGTGCGTGTGCGTATGCGTGTGTGTGCTTGGTTGCTGTTGTGCGACCGCAGAGGAGCTGCAAGTGAAGTAAGAGAACCCTTTCTCAGAATTAAACCACTTAGGTTTGCGTAAAACCGTAGGCGTACGTAAGACCACCTAACCCAATGACCCGTGGGTCGGTTGGGTCCATTATATTGACCCAATCCCCACCTCGCGTGTGTGTGCTCCTCACGCGTTTCTGATCTGGAATGTTGGATGTTTGATGGGTGCTGGGTTGATGGTGGCGTTTGGGGTGGCCGGGGAGAGGGGGAACACCGGGAAGGGGGCGCCCGGGGGTTGGCAGCGGCGGCGGCCGGCCGTGTAAGAAGATGGAGTAGTTGAAGGCGCAGAGTAGTGGCCAGCAGCAGGAGTAGATCGAGTAGCTGTCTGTGTAGGGTAGCTAGTACTTTTGCACTCTCCCTCCCTCCCTTCCGTTCGTTCGTTCGTTCGTTTGAGTTCCGTTTGTGGTTATGGTTGGACTTGTGCCAGTTTGACTTCTCAGTCGTGCTGCTATAATGGCACGTTGAAAGAATATAGTGGCCGAGGAGGGGGGGGTTGCGGCCACTTTGGCTCCTTTGGGGATCCACCCTGGGGGTCCGCTGTTGGCAGTGTATGTGGAGTATGTGGAGGTCGGTCCCTCTTGGCAGCTTGGCGGTATCGTGTCACAGCCCGCGAGGGGAGGTAGCGGGCGGCAGTAGCAGCAGCAGCAGCACCAGGAAGATCCGGATGTATCCACACGCGTCCGCGCGTGCGTGTACTGCATTGTGACACAATTTGTGTGTCCCTTATCCTCTTTTAATATGTTAGCACGGTATGTGTTGTAAGGGTAGGATAGGTGGGAGGCTGTTTGGGAGGGTGAGAGAGGGAGCGGGAGCGGCAGGTAGGTGTCGCCGCCCCTCTGGCCTCTTCCCCCACGTTCCTCCCTGCGCAGGGGCGGTGAGGTGCGGTGAGGTGAGGTGCCACACAGCGCGAAGTGTACTTCAATTCGCGCCGCGTCGCCTCAAGATGTCGTATACGTGTAGTAGCATGGTGCTTAGTTTGCAGCAAGGTGGGCAGGCAAGCAAGCGCGTTTTTGGTGTAGGAGTAAAACGATTGCAACAGAGCAGCAGGAGGGAGAGCGGCTGAGGGCTTGGCAGGGGGGCCCGCGTGTATCACTTGTGTCCCCGCGTCACGAGTGATAGGGGAAGGAGTGAACATGTGCATACACATGGATGTGTTTTATGTGTGCATTGGCCGTTTGGCAAGTGTAGGGGGTTTGTCCGGGAACCCGCTGAACTGCGCTTTGGACTGGTGAAGTGCTGTGCGGGAGCAAGGGGGGCATGCAGTTGGGGGTTTAGAGGGTTTCTTTTGGACGGCTGTGGATATTGTACGCTGCGTGGCCGAAGTATTCATGGTCATGGTTACTGTATCCAAATCATTAAAAAAATCTGTTTGTACGGCCCGTTTCGGTACGGCTGCAGCCCTTCCTTTGGTGCGTTGTACAAAGGAAAATGTATAATGTGTGTGCGTGTGTGCGTGCGTGTTTCGTCGTCGGGTTTTTGGCAGGGCCGGGTTCGCGGAGAGTCGCGTGGCTGTTTTTAATCAACGCCATGCTTCCCCCGGGGGCCGGGGGCCCTAGGAAAGCCACTGGACGCCGCGGAAGGCCTCTCCCCCTGGGCGAGGGCCCCGTGCTCCCGCAGCTGGACCGCCAGACCACCGCCACCGCACCACCACTACCGAAATTACAACCAATCATCACATTCCCATTAGCCTGTTCATTGAATTCTGATGTTATATCTGATGCTGCGGATTGATTGATGCAGTTGTCGTCGTGGTTTCCATTGCGGCCTTGTGTTGCCGCGGCAGGGTAGAGTTGAATCCTTTTTCTAGAGCTTTTAAAAAAAGGGAATGTTAAGTCGCACACTGCTGTGCGGGAGAGGTGGCTGAGCGAGAGAGAAGGATCGAGAGCCCCACTGGGCGCGCAGCTGTGCACCCCAACCCCACGTCTTGGGTCCATGGGATCTCGTACATCTCTGAACATCTCTGAATGCTGAAACGGTTTCGGAGCTTTCGGAGGAGTTCCACTATGATGATGTTGGGAGATCCAAGCGGGGGGAAGGGGCGACGAAGAAAAATGACAATGAAACAACAAATATCTATCTATCACACTGAGCGTGGATTGTGATGGGATGGGAAGCAAGCAGGTTGGGTCTGGGCTCTCTCATTGGCTTAGAGGCTCATAGGCCAAGAGCCGTGGCATAAAACGCCCTTTTGACTTCCCGGGTTTACAGTTTTGTGCCCTTTGCGTGTGTTCTGCCGGATGGGGGCGAGTTGGGCTGTTCGGCCCTTGCCTTAACACAATAACACGTCGTCGTCGCGCTGAACCGTAATTAGTATATTATTCAGTTCTTTGCCTCGCAGAGTTTGGTGTTTAGCTATGACTCGGAGGAAATTTGAGATTAAGGTAGGATTTTATGGTTTCTTGCAGCCCGCCACGCGCGCGTGTGTGTGTGTGTGTCAGTGTGTGCTGCTAAAGGGCAACGTAACACCTCAGCGTTTTCGTGTTTGTCTGTCTGTCTGTCTGTGCTTAGTGAGGAGCATTCACGTAGTTGGTAACGTAGGTGATTACGTGGGTGATGACGTAGGTGCCTTTGTTTGTTTGGCAATGCTCCACATGACATCGACATTGATGGACGTTAATGACACCTTATGACGAAAAATTGACTGCCGGTGTTTTGTGGAGGGGCTTCGTAGCATCGCCTGAGAACAGTCATTTCAGCTTCCCGTCGCTGTCATTTGCCGTCGCTTTTCCTGCCCCTCACCACCACGACCATTACCATCTCCTCCAGCCCGTTTGCTTCAACCTCTTTCTGCGTGTGTTTGTTTTGTGTGAAGGTCCTGGGCGGCAACCCCCGCATGGCAGGGTGCAGTGAAGGGGGAGAAGCCAGGCAGTGGGTTGGCGGTGCGGGTGAAGGAGGTGACGTTCGGAGTTGTGCGCGCTGTGTCCGTGCACGCGTTTGCTGGTGTGCATTCCCAATGGCGGAGAGGCAAAGGCGCGTAATAAGGGGGCGCAATGGTACAGTTTTTTTCGGCTTTTCGGACGTAGATAAAAGTCGGACGCGCAGCTTTTCGGCGATGCGGAGTTTCTCCATAATCTCCCTCCGTATCTGTTGTTGTAGGACTGTAGGTTTAATATCCTTTGGCATGCGTGTCTTGGGCGGTGGGCAGGCCGGATTCTACTCCTGGTTCTTTTCCTCTTGTCCTCACAGGGAAACGAAGACGAAGACACTTCTCAGCCGCCATCACGTCAGTCGCGTCACGTCCTCCTCAGCTACAGAGTCGCACCTTCGCTTCGGGCCCTGGTTCTGGTTCTGGTTTGGGAGGGGCGGGGCGGGGCGGGGCTACTGGATGGGTCGAACAGGCGGAAACGAGCTTGTGATAGCTGTGGATTGTATTGGTCGTCCTTCTGTGTGCACACGCAGCTAGGCATATAGCCTTATAATGACGGTATGATGACAAACCAGATATTTTTAATATGGATTGATGACTCTACACGGACGCTCTCTTACTGCAGATGGGATATGATGGGAATATCTGCTGTTGCTGCTGCTGTGGGATCCATTGAAGATCGTGAAATGTGTGAAGTGGTTACTATGATGCTGATGGTGGTTACCGCTGCTGCTGCTGCTGCTGCTACACACATTAGTGTGTGTGGATTAGCTGGCCATGCCCTCCCTACGGGTGGCGAGGAGCGGTGGACTTGAGGTTTCGCGGCTTGCGGGTTGATGGCCGCGCGCGTGTGTCTGTCTGTCTGTCTGTGCATCTGACCCGTGTGTTCTGATTTGCAAACCTAACCCGAGGGTTATGACAGAGGCCCCCGGAGTGCAGAGGAGCGTTTTTTGGCCCTGTCTTGAAGGCGCTGGGGCGGAGCCCCCGGGCCCGACAAGTGTTTCTGCTTGCCGGTGCTTAATGGGTTGGAGTAGGATGACTTGTCATAAGGGGCAGGGGCGTGAAGAGATGCTTTCGAGAAGACGGCTGGCCGGGCCAGTCGGGACGCGGATCGTCCTCCCTCTGTTCCCTCGGCGTCCGGTGGGGGCCGAGGGTGAGGAGTTTGCCCCGTGTATTGCCCCTCTCCCCATCATCCAGTTTGCAAGCACTGAACTGCTATTTTTGCAATGTTTGTGCACCAAGTGCCACTTGCTGAATTGGGCGTGGTGTTCTGTGTTTTCTTGCACGCGCCCGTGTGTGTGCTTGTACATACATACATACATATATACATGCATGCTATGAGCTGAGCTTCATGGCCTGACCTCAGAATGGTGTGTTAAGAGGGGATTTCCTGAGTGTGTCGACGTGTGTGTTGCGGGGTGTTGCAGGCATGCATAGACATTCAATGGTCGAAGATCACGTACGGGAGGTGAGTACACGGTGCTGGCGTCGTCGTACTATATCGTACAGTGGCAGGACATGGGAATCCACTGCGGCTACGGGTAGGTGCCGTACGGGACTATACGGGAAAACGTTGTTTCGTGGTCGCTTGTTCGTCGTAGATTCGTGTAGTATTCGATTGTGGAAGGGCTTGTTAGTATGCAGTTTGGCGTGCTCGACGGGGATAGCTATGACGATTTCACCTGGATACTTTTGCTCGTCACCGTTCCTTGGCCTGAGTTGAGAGCAGGCGAACCGAGTGTGGTGGATGATGGAAGGACGTGGGTGGATTTTTCGCTGGCTTGGAATGTGCGAAGCCGGGAGTTTGGTGGGAGAGTGTGCGAATTGGCAGAGTGCGACCTGATGTGGCCGTTCCTTGGGGCCTCGCTGAGGAGGTGGATGAGCCTCCCGGAGCGCTATGGCCGCCGTCCTTTCGCCTGCCTGCTGGACGACTGGGCCTCTTTTCGACGGCATCACTGCTTAGCGCCATTCTGCGCGAAGCTTGCGGGGCAGACTCCCTCCAGTCTGTATATGGCTTTTAACTCGACCCGAACTGCGCAGCCTTGGGAGCTAGCGGTTATATATTTGGTGATCCCTTGTTTAATTTAAGGAAAAAATTATGAAACTGAGCTGAAGTCATGGATGCAGCGCCTGCGGAGCGACTAACATACTTTTGCAGTTCATGGGGCATATTGATGGGTGCGCAGCGGACGGCTGGGGTAGAGACTGCAGATTGCGCAACGTAGACGGTGATATACAACCCATTGCATACAAGGCTATGAAGAAGAGCGTCTGTCTCTTTAACGACATTCATGGATTTTTGAAAGCATGGTACAGCACGGTACGTTAATGACTAGTGCAAAAGTGGGACAAGCTTCATAGCGACCTGGACAAACACTTTAGGAGGAAGGGTCGACATCACCTTAGCGAGTGGGCACAGTACGGCACCCTAAGGTGGAGCCCTTGCGAGTCAAATGCGTCGCCATACCTTTTGGACGGCATTACCGATGATTGTGGCGAGCTCCATTACTTCCAATATGCATACCTCCCAACACTGATCCCTGCTAAGGCTCCGTCTTAAGGCTTGGCCCTACCTGAAGAGGTGAACCGGCCTCGTGGCCGCCCACGCCATGAGCTTTGGCATAGGGGTCTGCAGGTGGCGAAGCTTTGGATGATGAATTTCAATCCCATCCTTCAATGTATCCCCCATGCTGACTGCTACAAGGGTTGATGATCAACGTGAGCTCACAGAGATCGTACATACTACATAGCATGTGGACACTACGTACGCGGCGGTTGGTTGTTCATCTTAACAACGAACTTTTCGCCTTGCTCCCTGTCCTGAATTAGGTTATCTCTTTATTATCTGATTTGGATTACATTTGAGTTGGCTTGCATAGAAGTCCATGAGCTCCTGGCTCGTCTAGGCCTTACAAGCTCATGGGAGCTTTGTAACATCATCATGATGACTCCCTATCTCTGCTCAAAGCTTTCTGTCCTACACACATATGCCTGTATCTCTTTTCAAACCCTCTATTATATGCCAGAATTAGCCGGTTCTTGAACCTTTGGGCTCGCTCGGACCGTACAAACAGCAACTATGTCGAGCTTCCTGGATGCTTTTTTACATGTGCACCTTATTTCTTCCTGAACATTATTATATCCGCGTTGTACGTGACCATTTTTGAGGTGTAAAATGAGCCTCTTTGGCGACTTGCCACCGCCCACATCACACCTTCGGCCAAAGGAGAAATTAGAAGATGAGTATAAGCCACAGCCTTTCTCTGTGGGTTCTTTAGATGTGAAAGTAGAGGAGGAAGACCCGGAGGACCAAAGTATTCTAGATAGACCTGACAAGCGTCAACGGGTTGAAGCTCAGGACGGCGGAGGTCTATCAAATGATCAGGTAGCTTCACTACTGCTGAAAGCAGCTTGGAGAAGATTGTGAAGGGTTTGGCCTTTGGTGTTGCAGCAACGTGATGTAAGCTAGGGAAGCACCGCGCTGCGAACATGTCATGTTTGTAAGCCTTGAAGATATTGGGATGATACCGGGATACGCTCCGGAACCACTGGAACCCCTTCTCCCAAACCAGCACCCCGGCTGCCCGCGTCTCCGCTATGGTGCAGGTCACCCTTGCCCTCAAAAAGATTGGCTCCCACATCCAAAATCCGGACAAGTTCAGTAAGGCAGCTGGCCTGCTGCGGCAGCTTTTGGACTCAGGTGCACTTACAAAAGCCCACCGTGACCTCCTATTCGAGGTGGTCAAGGTAAGAGTCATCTCAGCCTTGTATACTCCTTGGGGCGTCCTGCCGCCTCTGGCCTCATGCCTTTGCCTCTCTGACGGACACACGGTTAAACCTGACCGTGTTCGGGGGACACACAACCTGTTTGGGCCCGCCTTTACCACCGACCACCCAGAACCATCCAGCCGCAATGCGCTTCCCTCCGCCGTTCTGCTGCTCCTCAGCCTCCCCGCTCGCGCCCGCGCTCGCGCTCCGCACCGCAACCAACCTCCGCCTCTCCAACCATGCACACGTCCGCACACACCTGTAGGCGGCTTTCTCCGACTTGGACAATGCCAGTGAGGCCAGCCTGCGCCGTGACTACATGAAGCTTTGCCACAGCTTGGACAAGCGGGCGGATGCGCTGTTCAACCGTCCGCAGCGGGTGCAGCTGGAGGTGTACCGCATCGTGGGCTTCCTGCAAAACGAAATGCATACCGATGATTCTTTCGTGTTCAACAAGGTGCAGTAGTAGCCTTGCTTGCGTGTGCGTGTGCGTGGGGCGTGGGGCGTTTCGTCGAAGTGCCAAAGTTGTTGAGGACGAACAGGGCCACGCAAAAACGTATGAAGGCGGACGTGCTGGGGTCAGGGTATCGCCGTTCGGGTGGCCCTGCTCGGTTGACTGCTGGCCTGACCTCAGGTTGCTGTGCCCTTTGCGTGGCTGCCAGGCGGTCTTCTCGGCGCCCTGGTGCAGCTGTATGGAAGTTGGTCATTGGAATTGGGGCATAGCGATGGCCCTGATGGTGCTCAGGTGCTGCTGCCGCCATTTTTTTGTTGAAGGGCCTTTCTGCCGCTGGCTGTTCTTTTTGCCGCACGATGTTCATTCGAATTGCAGGCATCTCCCAACACCTCCTTCCCTATTAACTGCCGCGCAGCTGAATCGTGTCTTTTGGATTGCCTGCGGTGGGTGCGGTGTTCGTGGTAATGGTTCAGGTGTTGGGGCGCATCAAGGACGCGGTGGCGGCTCTACCTCCCGCAACTGACGAGGATGAGGAGGCGATGGCGGAGCTGCAGGAGGCGGCTGCAGGCAGCAGCAGCAGCGATGAGGAGGGGGGAGGTGATGACGCCGGGGATAGTGAGCGGCAACGGCAAGAGCGGCCCGGGAGTGCACCGAGCAGTACGGGGCGCATGGAGGTGAAGGAGATGGCGGCGGCGGAGGAGGAAAAGCGGGAAGGCAGTGACTCCGCTGCCGCCGTTGCAACAGCAGTAGCAACGGAAGTAAGGAGGGAGGCGGACGCGGATGAGGAGGCGGAGGAGCAGCCGGAACCGAGGCCAGCTGCTCCAAGGGCGGAGTTTCAGGCGGCACCAGCAGCAGCAGCACCACCACCACCACCAGAAGATGCAGCTACTGCCGGTGATGGCTATGATGAGTCTGACCCCTTCGGCCTGGACCAGCTGCTTCCCGCCCCCAAGCGCTTCAAAGCCGCTGCTCCACCCGCTCCCCCTTCACAACCTCAACCCCAGGGCCTTCCATCTGCTGCTGGGCAGGGTGACGGTCACGCTGATAAGAGCCGCACCAGCAGTGGCAGGGGAAGCAATGCCTGGACGGCGGCACAGTCATTGGTCATGCGGCGGCAGGCGCTGGTGGAATGCCTCATCACCGCACGCGGTTTCCACAAGACCCCTTGGGCTCGCGTCAGCGTGGAGCTGCTCGTGGAGCACTACAACAAGCACCGCGACCGGTTCACTGCCGAACAGCAGATGGCGGTGGACGAGATGGTGCGCTTCGTGCGCGCGGCGCGTTTGGCCCGACCCACGGGGCCATCGCAGAAGGAGATCAACCGCGACACCACCAGCTTTGAGCGCGCGCGCTCGGACTGGAGCCGCGCGACGTTGTCAGCCCGCGGCAAGGTCGGCGCGTCTGGTGACGCCAAGGCGCAGAACTGGCTAGGGTGAGCTGTGGGAGCGGGGCCCAGGTGTGGGATACCCACGCATGTGGGGGGAACACGGAGCTGATGAATCCAGGCGGCATGAGGATGCAGCGCGTTGCTTCAAAAGCGAAGCGCCAGAAAGCATATGGCAGAGGCTTGGAACTGTGTTACTATCGCACTGAGGTTTACGGAGGTGTGCTGGTTGGCCTGGGGATTCGTGTTGTGTGTTCTGAGTACATCCCCACTAGAGTCTGGATGTTTTTTACCCGCGCGGGATAGAGCTGAGCAGGGTGGTGGTGGTGGTGATGGCGGTAAGATGACGCGGCGCGGCGGTTGAGCTTCTGTTGTGGTTTCGTTATCATTTGGAAATAGTGTTGGGCGAGGCTGGACCTGCCTCACCCGGGGCGTTTTCCTCACGGCAACGAATTCTCCCTTTTCGGCGGATTGCGGACGACTGTGGCTTTTGCCTTTATCGCGTTGCGCTGAGACGCTGTCGATGTGAAAATATGGAGGTGGGGCGATCGGTGCAGGTGCAGGTGTGCTGCTGGGCCCGGACATAAGTTCATGTAATGTCAATCGATGGCGAGCAAAAGCTTCCGGACAACACTTCGTCCCACCTTATTTGTGTCGCGGTACACTCGTGGGTAACGCGCTGGGGAACGCAGTGCTTCATGGACACTTCGGGGGATATAGACGCTGCCTGTGCAAAACACGATACGTAGAGCTGGGGGGGGCTTCTGCGAGGAACGAATGAACCTGCTTAAGATGGGAGAGCGCGTGGTGTCACTGCGTTTGAGAAGGAAACATTCAGCAAAACTCAAAAGGTGGTAAATGTGTCCTGATCAGTAAGACTTTAGATAAACGGCCCCATCACCTGACCTCCCAGCCACCAACACTGCGGTATCAACGCTAATGGGACTAGCGGCTGGTAAACCAAGATGAAAGGGGACATCCTGAAACATAAAATTGTCAGGTCGGTCCGAGTCTGCAAGTTTTGTCGCTTGCTGTCGTGTCGTGTCATGTCTGAAGTCTTCATCCCCCATCCGCACGCGTGCAGCAGCCGTGTAGCACAAACATCCAAACACACGTTCCGTACATCCCGTACATTATTCCGCGCGCAACCATGTAACATGCACAACACACACACACACGCCTGTAAGGTAGGTGGGTCGGGACTCGCAGCACGCAACTCTCCAGGTAGTACCCCTCATCCCGGTGCTACCCCTCCAGGCAGTACCCCTCTTCGCCCTCGTGGACATCCTGAAGAAGCAAGCACCCCGGGGTTATGCACATACACAACGGGGACGCCGCTTTGCAGCCGCTCCCACAGCCCCCATCCGGCGCCCTTCCTAATAGCCGACACGACTGCGGCCAATGCCATCCTCTGCATGCATGCACGCATTGTGTCCAGCCGTCGCGGCGGCCCCGACTTGCCCCCGCGACTTGCTGGCATCCCCCTGGCACAGATGCTCGCTGTCTCGTGCTCGGATCCTGACAGGGGTAGCTTCCCCGTCGTCTCCTAACGTAAAAGTTCGAATACCGGTTCCCGTCCCGAGGTAGCACGCACATCCCAGCCCGAACAGAAGCCGTTGCTGACTGCCCCGCGGCGCCTTGCCTGGGCTGTGCCTCCGCGCTCCCGCCCCCGTCATCTGGACCTCGGACCTGTAGGAGCCGCCATCAAACACCCTCCGGTGTTCGAGCCCGGAGTCACAGCGCGGAGTCACAGGAGCGGCGAGCGAACCCGGACACTACCCGGAGGTACGGAAAAGAAGAAAACCCGGGGGGACCCCCCAAGGTTCGAGGTTTCGACCCCCCCCTCCTAAACACTTAATAATACAGAGATACGTTTTCCCGGGCGGCCGGGCAGCGAGTGACATCAACAGTGCCCGACTGCGACATACCGCATGCCAGCTTGCCTCGTGTTCGTCAGTCAGTCAGTCAGTCAGTCAGTCAGTCAGTCAGTCAGGTAGTCCGGCGTTTCTTCTCCTCACCCACCCACCCACGAAACCCACCCACGAAACCCGCCTCCACCCAGTCGCCGGTTCAATCCCCAGCGCGCGCGCGTCCTTTTCGCGCGTCTTTCTTTTTTTTTTTGCGCTGTTTTTCATATGCTTCATATGCACATATGCATGATATGCTTCATATGCTTCATGTGCTTCATGAATGCTTCCTCCACAAATCCTAATAACCCCGCGGGTACCAGCGCCCCCAGCGCCAACACAGAACCTCCACCTGACGCGATATCTCAGGTAAGGCGACGTCCCATAAGCAGAGACCGTTTTACGACACCCCCCCACGACAGCAACCACCAACCGCCCTCCGCTGATCGGCACCGCCCTCCGCCGCCGTACACATGACACATGCCATGCGCATGACGAAAAGCAGTACAAGAACAAAACATTGTGTGTACAAACAAAGAAAATAGCACGACGGGGCAGTGAGGCGCTCACTCCTTCTTGGCAGACAAGCTGGGCAGGCGCTCGTACGGCGATGAGTCATCCCCGGCGGCGGACATTCCGCCGGGCGATAGCAGCCCTGCAGGGGCCGTAATGGGGCCGGTGGCGGCGTTCCCACTACCACCACCGCCACCACCGCCACCGCCGCCGGCGCTGCGGTTGCCCCGCACCGACGCGTCTGTCTTCTTGCCACTGCCTTTCCGCGAGCCCTCCCCGGACCCCTGCCCCTGCCCCTGCCCCTGCTGCCGGCCACCGCTGTGGTGCCCTCCGCCAATCAATGGCAACTCCACTCCTCCGTTGCTGCTACCCGCACCAGCCATCGCCGCCGCGCCGCCGCCACCGTCACCGGCTTGCGCATAGTCGCTGTACTCACCGTACGACAACCCCTCGCCAACCCCTCCTCCACCGCTGCCACCGCCGTAGTTCGGCTGCTGGGTCTCGGTGCTACTGCCGCTACCGCGACGCGCTATTCTTGACGACAAGCTGCCGCCGCCGCCGCCACCTCCGCCGCCGTGATCGTACCCGCCGCGGGTGTGGTACAGCGCCGACGTGACAAGCGCGTTGAAGTGGCCGCCGGCTCCGCCGCCGCTTGGCCCCCCTAGAGCTGCTGAGGAAGGTGGGAGTGGTGGTAGGTGGTGGGGCTGGTTGTAACCGAATCCTCGAAGGGTTGAGATGGGTGTCGAGGTCCCTGCTGCTACTGCCGCCGCCGCCGTTGCCGCCACCGCACCACCGCCAGCACCGCCGCTGGCCAAACCAGGCGCTTCAAGCGTGTGCAGCATCAGATGCTGTTGAGGTGCGGCCAGAGGCTGTGGTGGGGGATTGGCATGGAGGGGGGGGGGTATTTCGGCGGGCAATACGGGGTTGGAATCCGCTTCTCAAGATGCCTCAACAGAAATGTGGTGCTTCACGAAACCAGTAGGTAGTAGAGGTCGGTCTAGGGGTCATCGACAGAGCTCGTGTGTGATAGCCCCATATGCACATGTTGATTACGGAGGGGGGCCGTTGGAGGTATGCAAGTAGGAAGGGGGTAGCTGCGAAGGGAAGGATCCGGAGAAGAAGAAGAAGAAGAAGAAGAAGAAGAAGAACAAGAACAAGGAGTGGAGAAGAGCCTGAGCCCTCTACAGTATTTTGCAATCGAGGCACGGCAACACCACGAAAACGCTCCAACGCTGGTGTCCTACATGCGGGATATTGATTGTCGCACAGCCTTGGCCTTGGCGTCATTGCGTCCCCCCCCCCCAGACTCCGACCCACCTAAGCGGGGGCACAAGGACGCTCAACTCACCAGGAATTGAAATCCATACATCCCCAAACCCCACCAGTAAAACACACACACACACACACACCGCCACCGGCAGCAGTGCGCACTCACCCCGAGGCTTCCCCCGCCAGCGCCGTGAGACCCCAGCAATGCGTCCGTACAACCCTCGCCACTGCCGCCAAGACTGCTACCGCCGCTGCCCCTGGAGTTCGTCCGCCAGTCTAGTCCGTCTCCTCCCCTTCCGCTGCCGCCGCCACCGCTCCCCCGCCAGCTCCCAGGCGTGCCCGCGCCGCCGCCGCTGTGGCGGCTGCCGGTGCCGCCGGCGCCAGCGGCCCCCGGGGCCGATGCGGGGCCCAGGAGGGCGCATTTGGAGGCGGCCTCCTCCTCCTCCTCCTCCATTAGCCGACCCGAGCTTCTTGGTGCGGGAGGGAGGGGCGGGAGAGGAAAGGCGAGGGTGAGCGGGATTGGGACTGGGGGACAGCGGAAAGTGAGCTTTTGAATGAGAACGCAGCAGCAGCAGCACGAGTAGTTATAGGAAGAACAAACACTGCCAAGCTTGAGAAAATACAAGTTTTTTTCCGTGCAAGCGCATGGGTCCCGATGACTGCGCCCGTCTACGGTAGTGGCCCCCCCCCATTTCTTCCCCCAAACCCCACCTAATCCCACTACTAAAACCCTAACCCCACCTAACCCCACCCAACCCCACTACTAAAACCCTAACCCCCTACCCCTTGTTTCCGGCCGCCGCAAACAGCTTCTTGGTGTTCTTGGCCAGCCCCTGCGCGGCCTTCTTGACGGCCCTCTGGGGCACCTTGACCACTGCGGTGGTGGCTGTGCTGACGTGCTCCTCAACCACCTGGCGGGGTAGGGGAGGGGTAGGGAAAGACGAACCAGGGGAGGGGAGGGGTAGGGGAGGGTAGGGGAGGGAGAAGCGGAGGCGTGAAAAATGGTATGAAGCAAGGAATGCACGCGCAGCTGATTGAAGGAATGGCTGAATGCACGAAGGCAGGGCAGCG